TCTGTCGTAAGCTATGTTTACTTGTCTGTAGGAATTATGTGGAAAACTCGGTCGCAAGTGAGCGTTCCTTCCGTGGTGTGGCCCCAAACATGCCTCCTCGTCATGCCCTTGTGGAAAGTTCAGATTTTTTGCATTTCCAGATGAACTCGCAGACCTGAAATGTGCCCCGTTAGCTTCCCCGTGAAAAATGCTATCGAATGATATGCATTACTTCCCCAGTTGAAACTTTGGTTTTTCACCGTTTTCAGCCTTCCCCTATTGCCGGATTGGGCACTATCCCACGATTACTGCCCCAAAATCTCAAAGTTTCATTTTTCGTCGAAACTTTGTCTATTGGGGTAATTCGATGCCCTGATTACGAATATGACATTCATTTTTGATGCTGGTGTCATTTGGCGCCGTTTGGCGCCAATTTGGCGCCACGGCTGTTTTCACCAAATCTGCTGAAACTTCGTCATTTGGGGTTTATTTGGGGTCCTGATTACGAAAACGACACCCCGTTTTAGCGCTGGCGCCATTTGGCGCCGTTTGGCGCCAATTTTGGCCACGCTACTGTTTCCACCAAATCCGCTGAAAACGTGTGTATAGGGGTTATTTGGCGTCCTGATCACGAATATAACATCCAGTCTTGACGCCGGCGCCATGTGGTGTCACAAACAACACTTCACAGTCAGAGCGTACTCTTAGGCACCTTTCTCAGAGCGCCGACTGTCAGACCGTGGAAAAGGTCATCGAATCGGAGACTTTCCCACGACAGGAAGGAGCCAGAAGCATGTTTCACGTTTTCGACAACGGAGAATAACGATGGCTCTTGCTACTCTTTAGCGACACAATCGTCAATGAGAGCTACTGGGCTTAGCCTTGAAGGACGTGTACGAGACGCTCAAGTTGAATAATCTGCACTTACTGGTTGCGATCCATGGGGTTGATGTCTGTGCCACTATGCCATTCATGTCAACGATCCATGAGCCTGATCAACGACGAACGGCACAACGGCTGGATTTGCAATCGTCGAGCGTGCCGCACTGGACCGTCGAACGAGACCAGGGTCTACGTTCATGCCCGAAAGGATTCCTTTTTCGAGAACTGTAACTTTCCTGAGTCCACGGTGTTCGCACTGCCCTATTTCTGGCTGCGCGACATGGGCAAGGTGAAGGACAAGGAATACGAGCTCAATGTCGGCCACACCAGTTCAATTCAGTGGGAGCGGTTCTTCCGCGACGAATGTGTGGGGCACTTCAGGAGGAACCCGCCGATCATCGGAAGGTTCGGGTGCGAGATGGAAATTGACGAAACACTGGTTATCAAACGCAAATACAACCGCCGACGTTGGGTACGCAGGCACAAGTGGCTGTTTGGAGGCATTGAAAGAGGAAGTGGACTCCTTCGGATGGTCCGAAGGAAAGACGTTTCAACTCTACTGCGGCTCATCATGAAGTAGTACATCGAGCACGGTACTACCATCCTCAGTGGCAGCTGGAGAGCTTACAGTCGAATTGCTGCTCTGCCCAACGCATACAGGCATCTCCAGTGAAAACGTGAAATATGCTTCTGGCTTAGCTCACAGTTTTCCACGGTCTGGCTCCTTCCTGTCGTGGGAAAGTCTCCGATTCGATGACCTTTTCCACGGTCTGACAGTCGGCGCTCTGAGAAAGGTGCCTAAGAGTACGCTCTGACTGTGAAGTGTTGTTTGTGACACCACATGGCGCCGGCGTCAAGACTGGATGTTATATTCGTGATCAGGACCCCAAATAACCCCTATACACACGTTTTCAGCGGATTTGGTGGAAACAGCCGTGGCGCCAAATTGGCGCCAAACGGCGCCAAATGGCGCCAGCGCTAAAAACGGGTGTCGTTTTCGTAATCAGGACCCCAAATAACCCCAAATGACGAAGTTTCAGCAGATTTGGTGAAAAGCCGTGGCGCCAAATTGGCGCCAAATGGCGCCAAATGACACCAGCATCAAAAATGAATGTCATATTCGTAATCAGGGCATCGAATTACCCCAATAGACAAAGTTTCGACGAAAAATGAAACTTTGAGATTTTGGGGCAGTAATCGTGGGATAGTGCCCAATCCGGCAATAGGGGAAGGCTGAAAACGGTGAAAAACCAAAGTTTCAACTGGGGAAGTAATGCATATCATTCGATAGCATTTTTCACGGGGAAGCTAACGGGGCACATTTCAGGTCTGCGAGTTCATCTGGAAATGCAAAAAATCTGAACTTTCCACAAGGGCATGACGAGGAGGCATGTTTGGGGCCACACCACGGAAGGAACGCTCACTTGCGACCGAGTTTTCCACATAATTCCTACAGACAAGTGACCATAGTCTACGACAGTGAAGGAAATTCTTCGCTTCCTTTACAGCTTTCTACAAAACATTCCTCTAAAAATGGGACTTGTCACGTAATAGGGGGCAAAGGCATGACAAGGGGTGATGTTTGGGGTCACACCACGGAAGAAACGCTCACCTGCGACCAAGGTTTCCATATAATCCTTACAGACAAGTGACCGTAGTCTACGACAGTGAAGGAAATTGTTCGCTATCTTCACAGCTTTCTGCAAAACATCTCCTCTGAAAATGGAAAATGTCACATAATAGGCCCACTATGCCTGCTGAGAACTGTTCAAAGATTCCACTTGATATACAGAGGATGGGATATTGAGAGCAGAGGGAACACGTAAAGCCAGTAAGCGCTTAAAAACGAAATGAAGATCTAAGAATTCGGAAAATAACATTCATCTAATCTCACAATGTAGTGGATGAGATTGAGTACGTGGCGCATTCTGGGGTAAGTTTTGAGGCCCTTCTCTGTGTGTAGCGGTCAGCCCGCATAAGCGGGATTATATACACATCACATGCGAGCAACTACTTTTTGAGATGAAAATCGAGTGCATGGCGCAATCCTATATGGAGCTTTTCCAAAGTATCAAAGCACATTCTTATAGTGTCCGACGAGCTGAATTCAAAGATATCTTCGGATTCTCGAAAGCTCAATTTTGAACCGAGTTATAACGAATTCACGAATTAACGAATTAACGAGGATTCGCGTTATTCGCGTGAATTTTCGATTTCAAACGGCGAGTACTGTACTTGTTGGCGCTCTTGCTCAAATTTGTTGCGACGCTTGCGATCTCCACCCCCCCTCCCCCGACTCTGTGGCAGGGCTCATGTTCCAACTTGTTGGAATCGCTGATGCCCCAGATCGCATATCTGCAATTGGCCCACTAAATGAAACAGAATCCCATCGCGACACCAAAGCTAGCGTCAACAACTAACCTGTAGTACCATGTTCTGATTGTGTTGACGCTGCGGACTCTGTGGCAGAGCTCATGCTTCTAGTTGTTGGAAGTACCCCAGATCCGATATCTGCAACCACTAAATGAATCAGAATCCCATCGCGACACCAAAGCTGGTGTCAGCAACTAACCTCTAGTACTATGTTCTGATTGTGTTGACGCTGCGGACTCTGTGGCAGAGCTCATGCTTCTAGTTGTTGGAAGTACCCCAGATCCGATATCTGCAACCACTAAATGAATCAGAATCCCATCGCGACACCAAAGCTGGTGTCAGCAACTAACCTCTAGTACTATGTTCTGATTGTGTTGACACTGCGGACTCTGTGGCAGAGCTCATGCTTCTAGTTGTTGGAAGTACCCCAGATCCGATATCTGCAACCACTAAATGAATCAGAATCCCATCGCGACACCAAAGCTGGTGTCAGCAACTAACCTCTAGTACTATGTTCTGATTGTGTTGACGCTGCGGACTCTGTGGCAGAGCTCATGCTTCTAGTTGTTGGAAGTACCCCAGATCCGATATCTGCAACCACTAAATGAATCAGAATCCCATCGCGACACCAAAGCTGGTGTCAGCAACTAACCTCTAGTACTATGTTCTGATTGTGTTGACGCTGCGGACTCTGTGGCAGAGCTCATGCTTCTAGTTGTTGGAGGTACCCCAGATCCGATATCTGCAACCACTAAATGAATCAGAATCCCATCGCGACACCAAAGCTGGTGTCAGCAACTAACCTCTAGTACTATGTTCTGATTGTGTTGACACTGCGGACTCTGTGGCAGAGCTCATGCTTCTAGTTGTTGGAAGTACCCCAGATCCGATATCTGCAACCACTAAATGAATCAGAATCCCATCGCGACACCAAAGCTGGTGGCAGCAACTAACCTCTAGTACTATGTTCTGATTGTGTTGACACTGCGGACTCTGTGGCAGAGCTCATGCTTCTAGTTGTTGGAAGGTACCCCAGATCCGATATCTGCAACCACTAAATGAATCAGAATCCCATCGCGACACCAAAGCTGGTGTCAGCAACTAACCTCTAGTACTATGTTCTGATTGTGTTGACGCTGCGGACTCTGTGGCAGAGCTCATGCTTCTAGTTGTTGGAGGTACCCCAGATCCGATATCTGCAACCACTAAATGAATCAGAATCCCATCGCGACACCAAAGCTGGTGTCAGCAACTAACCTCTAGTACTATGTTCTGATTGTGTTGACACTGCGGACTCTGTGGCAGAGCTCATGCTTCTAGTTGTTGGAAGTACCCCAGATCCGATATCTGCAACCACTAAATGAATCAGAATCCCATCGCGACACCAAAGCTGGTGTCAGCAACTAACCTCTAGTACTATGTTCTGATTGTGTTGACACTGCGGACTCTGTGGCAGAGCTCATGCTTCTAGTTGTTGGAAGTACCCCAGATCCGATATCTGCAACCACTAAATGAATCAGAATCCCATCGCGACACCAAAGCTGGTGTCAGCAACTAACCTCTAGTACTATGTTCTGATTGTGTTGACGCTGCGGACTCTGTGGCAGAGCTCATGCTTCTAGTTGTTGGAAGTACCCCAGATCCGATATCTGCAACCACTAAATGAATCAGAATCCCATCGCGACACCAAAGCTGGTGTCAGCAACTAACCTCTAGTACTATGTTCTGATTGTGTTGACGCTGCGGACTCTGTGGCAGAGCTCATGCTTCTAGTTGTTGGAGGTACCCCAGATCCGATATCTGCAACCACTAAATGAATCAGAATCCCATCGCGACACCAAAGCTGGTGTCAGCAACTAACCTCTAGTACTATGTTCTGATTGTGTTGACGCTGCGGACTCTGTGGCAGAGCTCATGCTTCTAGTTGTTGGAAGTACCCCAGATCCGATATCTGCAACCACTAAATGAATCAGAATCCCATCGCGACACCAAAGCTGGTGTCAGCAACTAACCTCTAGTACTATGTTCTGATTGTGTTGACACTGCCGACTCTGTGGCAGGCTCATGCTTCCAAGTTGTTGAAATCGCTGATACCCCAGATCGCGATATCTGCATGGCCCACTAAATGAATCAGAATCCCATCGCGACACCAAAGCTAGGGTCAACAACTAACCCTAGTACCATGTCCTGATAGTGTTGACGCTGCCGGACTCCTGTGGCAGAGCTCATGCCCTTTTTGTTGGAAGTAGTGTAGATCCGGTATCTGCAAGCAACCATTTTCTCTTTTACTTCTTCTCTGAGCCAGAATTTCTACAGCGAGGGAAAGCTGTGAGCAAAAGTATTCAATCACTCACTTGCTGACGCTGCCGACTCTGTGGGCAGGCTCATGCTTCCAACTTGTTGGAAAGTAGCCCCAGATCCGATATCTGCAACCCACTAAATGAACAGAATCCCATCGCGACACCAAAGCTAGGGTCAGCAACTGACCTGTAGTACCATGTTCTGATTGTGTTGACGCTGCCGACTCCGTGGCAGGGCTCATGCTCCTGGTTGTTGGAAGTAGTGTAGATCCGGTATCTGCAAGCAACCATTTTCTCCTTTACTTCTTCTCTGAGCCAGAATTTCTACAGCGAGGGAAAGCTGTGAGCAAAAGTATTCAATCACTCACTTGCTGACGCTGCCGACTTCTGTGGCAGGGCTCATGCTCCAACTTGTTGGGGAGAGCCCCGAGATCCCAATACATCTGCACCCACTAAATGAATACAGAATCCCATCGCGACACCAAAGCTAAGGTCAGCAACTAACCTGTATGTAGTACCATGTCCTGATTGTGTTGACGCTGCCGACTCCGTGGCAGGGCTCATGCTCCTGGTTGTTGGAAGTAGTGTAGATCCGGTATCTGCAAGCAACCATTTTCTCCTTTACTTCTTCTCTGAGCCAGAATTTCTACAGCGAGGGAAAGCTGTGAGCAAAAGTATTCAATTACTTACTTGTTGCGTTCTGCTCGAATTGTGTCGACGCTGCCGACTCTGTGGCAGGGCTCATGCTCCTAGTTGTTGGAAGTGCCCCAGATCCGATATCTGCAACCACTAAATGAAACAGAATCCCATCGCGACACCAAAGCTAGGGTCAGCAACTAACCTGTAGTACCATGTTCTGATTGTGTTGACGCTGCCGACTCCGTGGCAGGGCTCATGCTCCTGGTTGTTGGAAGTAGTGTAGATCCGGTATCTGCAAGCAACCATTTTCTCCTTTACTTCTTCTCTGAGCCAGAATTTCTACAGCGAGGGAAAGCTGTGAGCAAAAGTATTCAATTACTTACTTGTTGCGTTCTGCTCGAATTGTGTCGACGCTGCCGACTCTGTGGCAGGGCTCATGCTCCTAGTTGTTGGAAGTGCCCCAGATCCGATATCTGCAACCCACTAAATGAAACAGAATCCCATCGCGACACCAAAGCTAGGTGTCAGCAACTAACCTGTAGTACTATGTTCTGATTGTGTTGACGCTGCCGACTCCGTGGCAGGGCTCATGCGCCTAGTTGTTGGAAGTAGGCCAGATCCCATATCTGCAAGAGGCAAATTTTGCAGTGAAACAGAATTCCATCGCGACACCATAGCTATTGCCAACAACTAATACATTGTCTGCCTGTTGCCCATACCCGCAATGGGTCCGCTTTGCTATGTGGCAGAATCACATCGCGACACCAAATCCTAGGTGAACAAATATTTGTCGGTTTATTTGTTGTGCTTTGTCGAAATATGTTGACGCTCCAGCTCCCCTGTGAGGCCCATACTCATAACAGATAAAAAGCCTAGGACCCGGCACCTTCACTTGTACCGCTTTTGATGAGGCAGTTACTTCGCGACGTCAAACCTAAGCTGCTTGATTATTCTGCGCCACTTTTATATAGCGAACAGTGCGGACACTGCAGTGCTGCCAAGAGCACCAGCACGCGCACTGGCAGATCTCATTACCACATGCCGTCCACGAATCCTCTTTCACTGAAAGATCTTTAGCCGGTTGGTGGCGAGGCTACGTGGCGCGACCCCAGGTGGCGGATAGGGGTAAATCGCGGACCAAAAGCCACCATGTACTTGCCCTGAGACGCAGGTGGATTCAGGGGATGGACTCCCTGTTTCTGTAGTGCTGTGTTGATTCATACCAGCTGTCTCCACTCAGGCGCATCCATGCATGCTTGCGTGTGTGGTGCGCTCTGTGTGTGTGCGGTTGGTATCCTGCATGTCGGCACAGCCAAAAGCTTGCATTCAAGTGACTGGGAAGTACATGGGAGGCGATTCGGGGCCGCCTCCAAAAACTAAGCCCCTTGTTCCGCTCCAGGATAGCGTGGCTAACTACCTGGAGGTCTATCCTAGCCCTACACGACAGAGCCTGGCAAGCTACTCGTGTGCTTTCAAAATGCTAGATATGCAGGCTTCTAATCAAGGTCATTTGGTCAACCCGGCCAATGAAATGAGATGTATATGCCTATACGCGCCTTGGGACGCTGAGCTCAAATATGCTTTCCTTATCTGCTGAACTCTTCTCTGAAAGGAATTATGAAGCAGAAAAGCGCAGGGGCTGTGGTCGAGGCTCACGAAAAAGAGGTCAGGGGATCGACTCCCTGGACGAGCTTACTTTTTTGCCGCTAGAAGCATAGCTAGAAAGACCTAAGTCCAACATGCTTGCGTATAGCTAACAGTACAAAGAATTTGAGGGCAATTAATAACGAACTTGGGCGGCATCGCTCCTCACTACTTTGGGCGCTTGTAGCGCAGGCGCCAGGCATTTTTGCTTCGAACAAGTATGATATTCGTAATCAGGGAGTCAGACTCTCCCTTTAAGCAAACTTCTAGCGAATTCTGAAATTTTGACCTAACCTCGAAAATTTGGGCACTAAGGCTGGCATTGGGAGAAGAACAAACCTCCTGGACGCGTTTCAGAAAACGCAAAAATTGTGTCTGGCTGGCCTGTCTACATCTTGCAAAGATCTGCAAGGCATTATTTCCAAATGCAATCACTGCTCGTCGTTTTCTCAATTAGTTCATAAGCTCACGTTAAGTTAGAGACTCTTTTTGAGAGGTAGTTTGATCCCCTGAATACGAATATCGTACCTACTTGTCACGGAAAAGCATAGCACCTGCACTACGGGCACCATGGGCATTCACAGACAAGTAGTGCTCTGGGCTTCGCTTACAAAAGCCTACTCTAGGGGAAGTTTTACTCCCTGAACACAAATATCCTACCTGTTTGCCACTAAATGCGCCTAGAGCCCGCCTTGAGGGCACTGCCAGCAGTCTTCAGCAATTGGGCCCCAAGCCAGATTTGAAATCAGCCTGACAAGATGCATATATAGTATACATATGCATCTCATAGTGTATGGCCAGAAAGGCTTTCCTTGTCGCATGAATTCAGGGGGCAAAGAAGGGTCCTAATTTCTTACTCCAGGCACCTCTACCTCGACCCTAAGGGGCTGCTTTTTAATCGTAAACTCCGCCTTAAGAAGCAAGATAGGGATATAACTAATAGTATGCTATCAACCACAGCCCAAGTTTTGGAGGTGCGCCTCGCCACAGTAAGTAGTGTTCACAAGGGTTAGGGTTTTCTATGTTGCGATGGACGCGACCTTTGTCGCGATACAATCCTTTTCTCTCTTCCTTGGCCGACGTCCATGTGTTCTAGGCATATCTCCCTTTCTTTCACACCCAAGTTATTGCAATATCCCGAATTCCAGAGGAAAATCAGGCGAATCTCCTCAATTTTACGATGAAAGGGTATTAAAAATTCAATTAGAGATGGTAAAAGGTACATGAAAG